CGGTACGTTTTGGAGTCATAGTTCACAAGGAAAGATTCCTGATTATTTTAAATCTAAAGTACCGAATTAAAGTGCTTACACGTAAAAGTACGTGGTTCTAATACGGAAAGGTCTGACTAAAAGCCGTCTTTTGGATATCGTCGTTAGGTATTAAAATTCCAATCGCTAACCCCTTAGTTGCTCACCAACTAATGCAGTCGTTTGGTTGGTCCATCAAGTACTGCACAGATACGCATCACTCAATGGCTAGACAGGTGGCTGTATGGCAAACGACAAGAAGGCAGAATGAACAGATGGTATGACGCCTGTATAACCACTATTTGTGTGCTAACGGAGGTATGGTGAAACGCGCTGAAGAAACTTCATGATAGAAGGCCGGATTCGAAAGCATGTCAGAACGGCATTAAACTCCGACCTAGTGCAAGATTATGGCATGATGGCAAGGTGATATGTTAGTTCGCTTTTAATTAGAAAAAAGTAGGATTCAGTGTGCTTCCTTTCGTCGTTCGCATTAGTCACTGCTCTCTAAAAGAGCTTCAAGACAGCACAACTTTGTCCAGCATCTTGTATTCGAGGTTGAGTTAAATTGCCCTCTCGATAGTAAACCGAAACCCTTGGGTTTCTTTTGCTCAAGGACATGTGAGTTTTGCTACCTTTGAGACGTATTGGCTCTGGGGCAGGATGCCAAAACCGGTTGTCGTTCTATCATCCCTGCGACCAAATCGTAGGAATAGACATCAATTTATTTGTAGAGGGAGTAAAGGAAAATCAGATGTTTGTTTCATCCTTATTGGGAATAGCAACAAATTCCTATGCTCAGTGAACAAACAACGACCGTTGAAAAATTATCATCTTATAAAACTTGGGAATCGCCCTAATTAACACACGCAAACACAGGCATGAAAATTAAACATACTGTAGACAACATCTTGCACTAGAGATTCAGTCGGGTCTCCCGTGAGAACCAATTTGGTATTCCGTTAAACATTCTATCTCTAATCAACAAACCGTAGGCTGATGAACGTTCGGGAGATTTACATTACACATACTTGTAGTTATGCTGCGCCTATGTTGCCTACGATTTCAAATGACATGAAATTATTTTAAACCTAACTCTTTTTTGAAACCATGGACCACATGTTCAAGCCTCAAACTGCTTGGTTAGATGTGCGCCGAAGGTTATCCATGACAGGAATACAACAGTCAAGCTGTAATTTTATTTACAAATTATATGCCTGTTAATTCAGACAATTATCTCGGTACTAGCAAATGGTCTGAAAGTTTGTCTCACTAGTGATCGATTATCGCGGCATACCCGATCATTCTAAATTATGGGGCTGTGATTTTAATGGATGTTCAAGCCATCGCAACATCGCTATTGTTTGACTAAGCATAAGGACATTTGAAGAATTCTAGGACTTGGAACGGATTTCATTCAGAAAAAATGGACAAACAGAATACACCTATCTGAGTCACTGTGTTAACAACGACCCAAGTTTGTAGAACAAAGCCATAGTAAACCGACGTCCCTCGGAAGTTGGTGCCAACTTCACCCTCAGACTTGTTTAGCTTATGTGGGTTATGTCCAGCCAAATATAAGCAACTTCTGACAAAAATAAGATAGGGGAATCCAATCTCTGTATCCGCTTGGTGCAGTATCCAGAAGTCTAGCCATTTCGGCGGAGATGAGAGTTCCCTCCTCTTTATACGTGTACAAATCTTCCGTTTTGTTTGCAGTCGAGTTTGAAAGGATAAACAGTAAATCAGGCTGGTCGACTCGACTACACAACTGCAATCAGTTGGAACAGATGTTGGCACCCACTTCTTTAGTTTTGGCTGAAAGATCACATTTCAGTAGATGTGATCGAACTGATAAACCAAGGTGAGAAACTGCCGAGGCACCGTGATAATTTATAGACCAATGACATTTTATAGACCTTTGCACAGAATCCTTGCAAGCGGAGCGGTTGTTGGGTCTCAACGGTGTTCTCACTCACCGAGAAGCACGGTACTCCTGTAAACCTGTGAAGGGATTAGCTCGAGTCACTTCGGAGATAAAAGGAAACAATATCCAGTGTGGGCATAAAGCTGTGACTGACAACACATGCACGTGCTCTGCAAGCTACTGGTTTCAAAACAACGCGAAGCAGGAGGAAGCAGTTGCGCACTTTCATGTAGGAGAGGGGAAGTGAGAAATCGACTTCAAACTAAGACACTCTGCAACAAGTTTATCTCTTTGTGCCAAAATATTCACTTGCACGGCACTGCTTTCAGGCGCGTCGCAATCCGAATCCAATAGACATATAAAAGTAATAAGGCGAATGAAGTAGGGAAAAGTTCCTCTCTTCTAGCGTGACATCCCCACTTACATCTTAATGCCTGTGTATATGTCGAGCACTGAATTCTTTCTGTAACCCATCTTTTCGCCCTTTTCGACTCCCCAAAAACTTAAAACTGACGCAGTCGACAAGTGAGTATGGAAGATTATTCTGAAACAGCTTTATCATGCGAAACAATGTGGTGTTTGCCATTTCATCCCTGTTTTTACTTGAAACGTCTAGTTTAGTCCAATTCTCTTGGATTGATGCTTTCAAGTGGTCTGTTGGGAATTGGTGAAGCCCAATGTATGGAGCGAAGTTCCCTGTATTCGCACCCACTTGGGCTTCAGTTGACCTCCATTGAATCTAACTTGACCTCATGACAATTCCCCCATTCGTTTACTTACTCCGCCCATGTGCATTTGTTCTCCATTTGTTTCGCTGATCTTGCCGCAAAGACCATCAAATCCGACACGTGTCTGTGTGTGAATGTGCGCAAACGACCTAGTTATCCACGCAAATTCGTGTCCCGGTCGCTGAGTCTCCCTTGACTTGTTTTCTCAAGGGTTCCGTGTGGTCGGAACCATCTGGAGACTGCTGTTGGTATGGATGACCGCAACCCACACCACTGAACCATTCTTCCTTTTGATATTCGGGATTGTCGAATCTACGCGTCACTCAAAGTTCCGTAGCGAGAACCTCAACAACCTCAGTGACGTCAAAATGATTCTACGAAGAAACTTTCGACTAGATTGTCACGTTCTCCCTTATCCTAGCCAGCGGTCTTGATAAAATAATGGAAGAATGTATTGCAGTAGGTAGTGTCTGCATCTGAGCACACCATGAATGACGCTTGTAACGGAGTGTCAGTTTACGTCAAACTAAGACATGTCTTATGATCTAAGCTGTAACAAGACGTGTTAAACCTGAAATTGTCCTTTCAGTTATCTGTTGACAGTAAGTGATAAAGACGGACAGTGCATGGTCACCATTCTTGATCAGAACCATTTTTGTGGGATACGTGGGACTGATATGGATACTCATATGCCCCGATTCGAGGAAGTTGTCCTGGCTTCCTTGACAAGTCCTTCCGGAAATGGTTCAAGAGGGATACGAAAGCGAACTGAGGTTAATTTATCTAAAAAGTGGTGAACAATGCGTGTACGCTGGGTTTCAGATCAGATGACTGTTGCTTCCAAGTAGACTGAAAACGACCACCGTCAGCACAGGCAACTTGAAGGCCTCATTCGGTGAAGTTGCAGCTGTGTAATTATTTGAGCGAGTATTTTTTGTTTATGGTCACGTTCGGACGGGTATAATGACTTTTACATCAGAAAACTCTCAACAACTCCCTGGTCCAGCCAGTTTCACTACAGTAAAAATGGGTTTCTTCTCTTCATCCACCTCATCATAACAAGCCCGACGATCCATAATGATAAAGTAGTCGACTGACTGGCTTACAGTTCGCATTCGAAAGGAAAGTTCTTCCTAGAGTCTCATCTCCAGAGAGCGAACACCTTAAAGAAGTGAACCAGATAGTAGTTCAGGAAGTTCTTTGTTGTGCAACCTTGATTACACAAACGTTTCATGCCATAGCGGAAGTAACAGACTGCCCGTCACAAAGCTGTGTGGTCCATTCGTCTCTCACAAATGACTGTAATGATCGCCTTTTGTAAAAAGACACCTAACTACCGCTGTTTTGGTGAACAGTCAGCACCCACATAGCCTAATCTAATAGAGTTTCAGCTACTTTAAGTCAGTATAAATTATTTCCGTCTTGTATATATAGTCACATGCGGAGCTGCATTTATGATTTTGAAGCTTGATGCGTATAATGTACGAATAATATCTGATCTTGTACACCACTCACTACGTGCTTTTATTTTCCCACCATGTCTTTATCCAAGCAAACATTTGGCATAGTTTGACGAACGTTCGAGGTAGAATTGATTTGTTTTCTGTACATGGTGAGGGCGTACGGCAAAATGATTTGATTCAATATGAAATGGAAGAACGAAAAAAGGAGATGGGAAGAAAATAACATGAAGACAACGTGGGGTACATCCTGTGAGCCATTACAGTTAGACCCCTGCGGTCAAGTGGATGAATTTGCATTGTCTTCAAGTGGACCACCACGTAAATCTTACGATGTACACAATACAGCTACCAAAATCTACCCTCGACATCATTTTCGTTTGGCGCCGTCGACAGTTGAGCATGGCAGCATTTAAGATACCACGTAATTACGAAGTGAATTTGGGACACAATCCATACAGCATAGTCGACCATAGCCATGCGTCGTGATTATTATGGAGTTCTCGATAAGTAAGATCATTTCATTGTTATATTAGTGTTGAGGTTCCAGACACGGAATACGGAGTCGCTAGTAGGTTCGACGATCCCGAATATCAAAAAGAAGGATTAGGTTAGAAAGTCTTTGGTAGTATTTACACAAAAGTGAGGAACACTATACAACAAACTAATTATCCACGGTCAACAAGCCCTCATGATCGTCCATAACCGGCACAGCGTGGTGACAAGGTCCGTACACCAGACAACGGCGAGCGGAATGTTGGCTCGGTAGTGTGGGTTGTGGCCCGTTCCGAGGCCAGTCTCGTGATTCTGCCTGGCGGTGCGATCACATGGAAATCACGATAGAACAAATCGGGACAGCCTGAGTCGATGGCTCACGAACACGCATGGGTAAGTAGGTAAGCTGCCCACATTCACACACACACACACACATGCTAATATACAGGTGTCGGACGGAGTGGCCTATCGGCAAGGTGAACGGCGGGGACGAGCAAAACAACTGGAGATCATATGTATAAGGGTGGGTGGAGAAAGCGAATGATTGAGGAAATTATCATGATGTAAAGTTAGATTCAATAATCATAATGGTTTTCTCATAGAATAAGCGTTCTTTGGAGTTCTCAGTCAGTGACACAAACAAAATCTTTACTATTGATCCAAAGAACAGAATATGACGACCAACATCTAGTCATACCAAGTCACAACAAAGCTTCTGAATAGTTGGTAAACTGTCCCTCGACAAGTCGAGTATCCTATGACGATCTGAAAAAAACGTCCAAAGTGTCAAATTTCCCCTTATTGCGAATGCATTGAGGAGGCATTCCAGTTTCTAGAGTTCATCCGGAATAGCTGGCGGTATATTCAGGGAGAGGTATTCAATGCTACTGTGTATAATTTATGACTGAATACATGAAACCAGGGTCAGCACCGCTTGACTTTTGATTTAGTCATCCTTTGCGGCTTTAGAAGTAAATCCAAAACATCGAACTTGCAGAAGTTAGCTAGTCCGTGTTTATCCCTAATTACTACACATCAAACATCTTAGTCTCATGGCAGTGCTGCGCGCTCTGCGTTCTGGGACGTCGTACGTCCTTTTCAGCCAACCTGGGTAGAAAGCAGCCGTTTTATCGGGCACTGTGTGCCTACTAATCAATTAGTTACGGTCTTCCTGAATATAGCTGTGAACCTCATTCATATATGGTTTCCATGGCAAAGTCCGTTCGGATATGTTTAGGAATACTGAGCACCATGTGGTGGATAGTATGGAAACTTTTAAAGTAGAAACCAACCTCGCACCCATAACGAGGACAAGTTACTCGCACCACTCACCTTGTAAGTGAACAGGCTCCTATAAACTCTTTTTCCGACATTCTTACACTTTTTGACTAACTGCCTGTAATTTTAGTCTAGTTCTTTGCTTTATCAAATGAGCTATCATTCCTGCCTTGCAGCTGCAAATTTTATCTAGTGGTAATCTGAACAACTTCCACCTCTAACTATCTGTTCCCCACAGAACTACGTATACTGATCAGTATTGAGCAGAAGGAACTTGACCGGGCACGAAAAGGTGGGAATTTGCTCGCTTTTCTGCGGAAAACTGTCTGTCCATAGGTTAGCTGTGGCCGTTTTCTTTAATTGTCCATTACCAGTCGGTATCGTCCATTCTGATTGAATGTACAGATGAAGTAATGTACTAAAGTGTTTTCCTCTGCAGTAACTGGCCTATACACAGGCCAGTTTGGCTGAGACCTTCAACCTCCCTCTGATATCAACATAGAATAAGTTCCGTTTTTAGCAGTTCAAGTGAAGGTAGAGTTGTACGCATGGAAAATGCACCATAGTCTATCTCTGTACATCAACCCGGAGGAAATGTGCTCGATGTTTTCGGTGTACATTTAAGTTTAGTATTTTCTGAGACTTTATCTATTGAGTATTGACTTCGTTCTCCGTGCTCGGAGATATTCACTTTGAACTAGAATCACACTTTGAAAGTTTTGTTCGACAGACATTTACCTAGCCCCATTACCTGTCGAAGCCATTCCAGTGCACTCATTTTACCGGTAAAGAAGGTATCAAATTCAACATGAATAAGTGAGTAAATTAAGCATCCTAATACATTAACTGAACCGGAGAACAACAAGGAAATGATGGTTAGCAGGCTAGAAGGAGATGTGTACTTTATGGCTAGGAATACAACAAGGCAAAATTGGTCGGACCCCTAAAAGATGGAGGTAAATTTGCTTTTTTTCTCTCTAACTGATGATGTCACCTGGTCTGGTGATGAAACGTCTGCAATCAAACTGCCCAGCCGTATCCGATAATTTTCATTTTTTGAGGCTAGCAACGAGGCAATCCTCTGACAACTCTCTTAAGAATTGATTTGAATTACTAACTACCTCCGGCAGTGTATCCAAAATCACGCTGGTGGATGATCATGCATGAATCAATCCGTTTTTATCTTCGTCATCTTTTTCCAGTTGCTGTGGCGCAAGTTTGAGTTCAACCGTTATGAGGTATCCCGATTTCAAATCAACAAAGAAAATTTGAATTCAATAATTCCGCTAGAGGCCGGAACTTCGATTCGTTTAGATGCGGTGCCGTGGTGCGTCGAAGTGACCGAGAGTTTTCTGCTGTACATGAACGAAAAATTGCGCTCGATATTTCCTGGAGCTGAGACAGCTGTGGACATTTTCCAAGAACAATTCACTTTGCGTAAGTCCACTAATCAATGTACTATTGAAGCCGAATAAGTCGGCTGGAAAGAACTCCGTGTCAGTTCTCTTGCAGACAGTACACGTCAGTGCTCCAAACACTAAAATATACTACACTAAGTATAGTGATCCCTCCTAGACGACGTAACTCAGTCGACAATGCGACCTGCTGACCTCGCACTGGAACTAAAGACAATGAGCCATAATATGACCATCACTCTGACACGACCAAATTCGCTAAGTTATAAAGTGGAGTAAATCCATAGGCTGGCAGATTTATACTCCTTCGTTTGTACGGATAAGCAATACGTAAAGCAATCACTGACCTATTATTCTCTGTTATCGAATGTGAATTCAACTTCAGTCTCCGAAGTGAAAACACTGTGGATGTATTTCTAATATCCTATTGGGAATAAATTGGTCTGTAGAAGAATACTGGGAAATCCGTCTGATCTATTTGATGGCACGTTAGTTGCAGAAATCCAGAATCCTCATAGCAAATGGGAATTTGCCCTCATACGGGCGTGATATAGGTAGTCTGATTGGTTTTATATTCGACAACATTCCACTAACGTTTAAAAGGCATATTTCAGATAGTTTCTTGCAAGCTATGTTCAACAAGCACTGTTTGATGACATTTTGGTGACTGAATCTTGTAATGAGTGATGATGATGTAATAGGTAGCTGATAAAATCAACATCGATCGGGCTTGCAGTGAAAAACCTCTTATACAAAAGCGCACAAGAAAGCTGATGACGAGTGTGCTGGAATGCACATTGTATGGACTCTTAGAAACCAGATGTATTGCATAAAATAATAATGCTGTATTGTACTGGCTGCAGGAAAGTTGGTTCATTCAGTCTTTAGAGCCAATGGCAAGTGAGATTTACAGACCAATTAGGGAATTACTGTTTTTCAGTATCTGTCTGCTGGTGATGTTGAAACAGATCCTGTCGGAACACCAAAGACGTTGCTCTCTGGAATAACCGTTGAAGAATATTGCTTGTAGGGAATACATTACGAGCTTGGTTACACTATTATGTTTTGAGCCAGCAAAATATGATGTGCACAGCGTTGTTCAGCCCAATGGTATCCATATCGCCTTGCTTGATCCTGCTAAATATTTGACTACTTATCTAATCCTGTTCATGGTCTTCATGGATGGTAGCGCCCTTTCCCAGTATCTATATTTGTTTTGATAGTGATGGTCCGTCAAGGAAGAATTTCTCATTTCAGAGGGGTTTGGTAAACAATCGGTGGATTCATTGCTTTACGACACAGCATTTTGGTCACAGTTGCTTTGTGCGATAAGCCCATAAATTCTGGGTCGCCTGTCTTTACGAACCACCTAATCTACTTACTAATGATTCCCTTTAGCGATCGCAGATGATAGTCTCGCGCTGCATGGGTTGTCTTCAGTGCCAGCTTACCCGTACTTTAGGCCCCCTCATCCATCTGTTCACACTGCCTTGTAATTATCGTCATCCACTGGCCTTCGGTCGTTGTTTGTGTTGGGTCAGCTCCTCGAGCCACTTACTGGCATTGTCTCTTCACATGGTGACGAAATGTTTCCAAGCCCATCGCCATGCTAAGCGAGTAGGCCAAATGCCGCCTGATCAACGTCCAACTTTCGCGTTGACTTTGATAGGAGCCATCACATTTATATGAGTTAAGAGGGTGTTTTCGGCTAGACTTCACTTCATTGATTAAGTGATGCAAGAAACATAACGTATGACTCAGTTCTGGCTGTTTTATTACCAGAATCATATGTGAGAATGGCGATACTGTATGCATGGGCGATCCATCGAGACGACATGTAAATCTACGACCAAACAGCGTTCATAAAGATCCGTTTCAAAACATCAGCTCCTTCTCGTTTGCAGATTATGCGCACTCTTCAGCTTCAAACGGATGACGCAAAATGAATCTCCTTTAGCAGAGATATGTCATGGTTGTTGGTCCGTTTGCCGAGCTTGGTAGTTAGATTACAAACGATTCATCGCCAACCGAGGTGACAACTTCGGTGCGCTGTTGAGTGGAAGAGGTATCTTTGGGAGATATTTTACACCAACACCGATCTTCAGGCTAGTTATTTATGAAACCCCTTGAAAAATATAATGGCTCTGTTTTCAAGTCTATTGAAAAACTCGTTGCAGAGTGAACCTCGTGAACTTTCAGCTTCCTTCACGGTTAACAGGGTTCATAGATTTCGCCGAATATACCAGTGAGCATTCGCTGTGAGGCGTAATTTATATGCACTGTAATCAATCCTATCCACACGCAGCACAGTTCAACTGCTAGGCCATTTCAGCAGTGTAGCCCCAAGGATGTTTCCTGCTCGTCAACAGATAGAGCACTATAACTCGAGTACTTCATTGAAGTCCCCGTCCGTGTTTGGAAATAATTATGTAACCCCTCGGCAAAAATACTGACAAATGTGTTCTGGTGAATGATGTATCTTCCTCCTTCTTAACCGAAGAGATTAAGTTTATATCGTGTTAAGCTGGTAACCAAGTCTGTTCTCGGAGACTTTTGCGATCTCTCTCGTTGAGTAAGGACTCTGTAGTTAGCGTCGTCCCCATGAAGTTGCTCATTCATTTTAACACAAGCTTCATCCGGTGCTATGACTTTTCCATGTTAACTGTTTGTAGTGTGTTTCAACACAATAATTCAACTAAAAAATGCCAGTTTATTTCAGTTCAGGGAGTTGATCTCCCGGGCAATGTCAAGGCGTTCTAAGGACGACCGTGACCGATACGGATGTTTCTTCCGGGAAAGCGATGTGGACAGCTCAACCGGCAGTGTTTATGCACGACTGCACGTTGAACTACCCAGTAACGCACACATTTGTGAAGGCTGTTAATCGCTGGATTTGGTTGCTTTCTTTGCGACCAATGGCTGGTCCGGTTCGTACAGTCTGTTTCTGCATACCGATGGTCCATCATACGGTAAGCGTAACAGGAATCTAATGGATTCACTACTGGCTTAAAAAACATAAGAAGCTGTGAGTTGTTTTGTATCTGCTTGTATGTTTCCAACTGAGGGACTGCCCGTAAGCTTCTCTGCTCAGTCTCATGCATAATTTTATTGTTCTCAGCATTTCTTATGTATACCGCAAAGGATAAGATGACATATTGCCCTAGTTTTATAACTCACACCCTTCAGTAAAGGTTCACCGTCAACACCAATCAAGACCATTTAAATTCCCGTGAGACACGATCTGGGGCGCAATAATCCTGAAAAGGGACCACTCCCAAAAAAGTATAATGTTCTTCTTCTCCTGTTTGTTTGTTTTCCGTGGTCAATAAACAAAGGGAGTTCTTATTTTAAACTTGAGAACATAATAACCTCAACCTTAACCTTTTTCACGATTCAGAATAGGACACAAATATTTTTTCCTGCGACCAACGGTCTTGTTACGCTCTTTAAAGCAGGCATCTTAAATGTTAGCCGAGCGCTTTTTATCAATTATGTTGTTGGGTATATTTCATTCAGTTGCGACGCAGTGAAGTCACGTTTGTCTCATGAGAAAAACCGTCCTTGACAAGCACCTTCTCAATAATATCTAACCACCTAACTAGGACGGTCCAGTGTATTTAAGACAAGTAAAGCAGTTTGATAAGAAGACAAGTTCAAAGCCACGAACTGAGTTTGGACCCCACCGGTTTGTTCGCGCAAGCTCAAAAATTACTGTCCACAAATCCGTCGCGTTAAGAGAAGATAAGCACAAACAGTCATGATGCAGTAATTGTTATCTTGATGACGTGACAATCACCAATCGAATCAGCGTTCTACTAAACGAAAGAACACTACTAACCGAACAGTAACATATACTATCGCAAAAATGCCTGTTGTTCTTCCGGCGAACTTCGGGAGATCGTTCATCTGAAGCTTTCTGCTTGAGAAACATTCACGTAAGAGAGCATAGTCAACTAAGGTGAGCAGCAGTTTAGGCTGCACCACCGGAAACTCATCAGCTTGTTTTTAACGCTCATTTTTGGAAACTCCTCGTGGCAGTCTTTCCTTTTTTGACATTGTGTATTTAGGACCATGTGCAATGGAAATTTCCGAAATAAGTAAAGGAGCCTTTCCTTCCTTCAAGGCGAATCTTGAGAAAATAAATTTGACTACTGACGGCTTAAAAAATAAACACCGCGAGATGGAGAAAGCTGTTACACACCAAATACATAATACGAGGAACGGTTCTGCTTCATCGACAAAACGTAACCGAATTTTCAGATCTCAGTAACGGAAAAAATGTAGTCACCTCAAATTCCCTAGATTTCTCAGACTTTTGATTTGTCGTCTACACGGAGAATGTTTAGTAAGCTAAAAGAATTCACTCCTTAATGCATGAGAACTTCAATCATGGATGGTCATGGGGCATTATTTTCCCGGAAAATCTGCGTGGCTGAGGCGTTGTTGACCTTCTCTTGAGGGCTATGTCGAAAAGCGCCTTTCTACTAATTTTTATTGCTGTCGAGGGAGACATCGGTAGATCAGATTGTATATATGATCGTCCTACTGTTATTTGAGTTTTGCAATTTGGTGTCAAACGTCTCGTCACCACCCTAGGTAAAATCGTCAGTACGAAGTAAGTTGGTGCTGCGTTATGGCGCGTCAATGTGTACGAAGTGAATAGTTCTTGGCTCGTGTTTGTATGTCTGGTGGACACGGTGGGTGTGGAATATCATTGGATGACTGGCCCCAGGAACTCCCAGCATGTCCGGAGGCCAGCCCTCCCCGATAATTGAACATCATATCATTTGGACGGATGGGTCACATGCAGGCTGCGTACCAAACAAAGACATGCCTTGATTGGTCAGATTGCAAGCCAATCTAAGCTCGATGCTTCTAGCCCCCTCACGGAGATTCTAGCACGACCTTGTGGAACACTCTATGATCACCCTATAAAAAAGTTGTAGTAATTTTTTTTTGTTTCGAAAAAGGGCTGTTTGAAGCTACCGTGCCTTTTGATATACCATAGTGGGTGGAGCAGGAAGCCAAGGGATCGATACAGAGTTGCACAATCATTCAAC